CATCAGGTTGCTTTTCTTTCCCTTTCCTCCTTTTCTTTTAGGTTGATTTATATCAGTTACAAGTGAACACACTTCGAAGGTACAAAAGACACTTCAAGCTACAGACCAGACCGGGACTTAACAAAGCACAGCTTGTTGAAGTACGTACGAGTGTTTATTCCATAATAGAAAATGCAATTCACCGTGGCATGCGTTGTGTTGGCTTTTTTGCTGTACAATTTGATCGTTGCATGAAGCTCATATATAATCTGGGTTTTAAGAGAGCAATAAAAGGAGCTGCTTATCTAGCTTCCTTCACTGCCACATCTCCTGAGCCAAGTAAAGCAGAAGTAAGAGCTCTTTGCAGAGAAGGGACTCGTGACTTTCAGAAGTGTGTGTGTGCTCCTTGAAAACAGTGGGCTGAACAGTGAGGTGACCTGTGCATCTTTGGATGTCATAGAACCATGGATTTCTTACCTGTGCATCAGCCACACCTTCAGCTTAAGTATCCTACTGATGATAACTAGAAATTGAGAGGTAGCAGTGAAGTTCTAGTAAGTAAGATCATGCTTGGCTTTAAAAAAAACCGATTGATACAGGCATCTGTTCATACATAAAAGTGCAGAAACCTGAAAAAGTTTTCTATTGATCATTAATCTCGCTTAAAAACTGCGCATCTATTATCACAAAATAGAAGTTCATGAAATTCTTTTTTTATTATCAATACTTCTAAAAGCACTTAAGCTATATGTGAGTGCAGATGTATGCATTTCTTCTGTATGGGAGTGCAATTTGAAAGTGCTTCTTTTGCACTGCAAGGGCACAAATATGTGACAGCACTGGTGATCATTTCAGCAGGGAGGGATAGCTGCCACCTTTTCATTGTTGTGCTGTAATGCTCAGTTGAACTTCAGTGCAGACATTTTGTTGATCTCTCTACTAATTAGCGCAGATTAATGCCAAGGTTATTAAATGTGTGAGAGCTCTCCAGGGCTAAGCTGTAGAAGAAATACAATGCTGCTGCCTCTACAATTAAGTATTTTCAATAATTCTTCTTTTTTAATGTGAGAGTTGATGCACGGATGCATCCAGTTCTTGAATTAGCAGAACTGATTTGAAAAAGCGCAAAAACTTTTGTTCTGTAGAACTGGCATTTCTAAGGGTCTGCTTTAGGTACATCTCATGAGATGCTTCCAGTAACTTATGTTTCATGTGCTGCTCTGTGTGAACAGGCAAAGCTTCTGTCACATGCTTTGTTTGATTGACCTAAAGGTCCCTGTGAGCTGTAGCTGCAGAATTTACTGTCATTTACAGTGCATATGATTTCTTGTTACTTGTCTGAATGTACAAGGGATTTTCTGCTAGCTGTTACTTACAAGTCCAATTTAAAGGGCTCTGTCAAACTGTCTCTGTTTAGTTTTCTTTTTTTTTTTCCCAAGGTATGTTTTGAAAAGCTTTCTAACTTGCTGATTATATTAAGTATTTTATGCTTGTGCCTTGTGGTAGATCAATGGTAGATCAATTTCTCACTTCCTCTTGCTAATTTTAGTCCAAAAAAAGTATTCTGCAAAAAGCTGGAAAACAGACTGGGGCAGTCAGTCCATCTGAGTATTTCCTTATAAAACTGACAGTCCTTTGTGCTGAAGGGACAAAAACTTCGAACTTCAGCTTTAAGGACTGTAGAAGTTGACATATTTAGCATGTACAGCACTGTGAATTTTTGTCATTGACACCCCTGTTTCAAAGAGCTAAATCTTCATGCTCTGTCTTAAATTCTCGTATTTGGGTCTTCCTTTTTTTTTGTACACAACTTGATACAGACCTCCTTCAGCCTGAGTAATGAGCAGTAGCTCATTTGTGTGCCATAGGTTCGTGATAGTCTGCACATGTTATATGCTCTGTGTTCAAGGAGTGACTGCACAGATGTAAAGATACTCTTATGCTTGTTGGGAGAAATCTTTTCTTTTCTGATAATTTTCTGGGCATTTTACTTGAGAAATTGTGCTGTATTTGTTTCAGATTACTCAATGATAGCAGTTCCTTTCATACTTTACGTATGATACTAAAGATTTTCAAAGGGAGGCAGGGTTTCCTTTATCCTAAGTTGCTTGATCAAGCTTTTAATGTAGTTATATAAAGTTTCTGCATATAAGTGTTTAATTTCCTTGCGTTCTTCCTTTGTAGATAATTGGCTGCCATTTTAGGACAATTCCAGTGAATGAAAAGGACACCTTAGCGTATTTCATCTACTCGGTCAAGAATGACAAGAACAAACCAGACCTAAAGATGGATAGCAGTGTTCATTAGGCAGGGAAGACTGGGACTGAGACTCAGGCCACAAATCAAAAGACTGAGGGTTTTTGTTGATATGCAAAAGCTTTCTTTGTAACTTTTTGTCCCCAGAGAGTTTCTCTGTTTTATTTTTTCATAACCTTGGTGATTTGAGAACCATCTCTTATGAAACAAATTTCCTCACAAACTATTTTAAATAAATATTACTGATATTGTTGCTCAAGTGGGTGTGTCTAACTTATTCAGCGTGTTACTTGTGCTTAGTAGTTAAGCTTTGACTACCTATGTAATGGTATAAAAATATTCTTCAATTAAAGTGTACCAAGGATACATTTATGAATGTACTTCAAGCTCTCGCAATGCAGTGCTGTCTTGAAAAGAAAAGAAAAAAAGAAAACAAACAAAAATCCCTGAATTGTGGTAGATTTCGCAGTGGACTCTTTTTCGTGAGGTTAAAGGCTTTAATTGACAGTTGCAGTTATTAGCTGGGCAGAAATGACTGATTTGGTATCTTCTATTAGGCATGCTATTTCTTGTTCACTGCGTGCATTAACTCAGACCTTTTTAAAAACAACACACTAAAAGTAAGATGAGCAAAATATTATTTTGATTTGGTATCTTAGTAAAGTCTGTGATATTAAAGACAGTGTTATGTATGATTTCTTGTATTGTCACTGTTAGCTTTGTGTTAATCTAAACATGTGGTACATGAAACGTGATCTTGAAACATTATTTCCTTTTGCTTTAAGCTGTGTGCATTGGCTGAAGAAAAGGCAGGAGAAAAAGCTTAAAGAAGAGGAAGACACAGCTTTAGTTTATTCAGTTAGCATTCATTGCAGCTTCTGACCTTAGCAGGTTTTCAAAAGCTCTTTTTCAAATGTGCTGAAAAATGAGAAAGTGGTATTTCTGTGCTCTAATCTATATATAATCTAATAGTGTTAGCCTTGTGAAGTTTTTTTGAAAGACATCACTGTGACCAAGATACTCCATTTTGCTCTTTGACCTGTGGCACTCCATTGCATAAAACTGAATGATAATGAACCCAAAACTCAAACTGGCTTCCTTCTCAGGAGCTATAAGTACCCTAATTTCTTTCACTTGCAGTGTCATATATCTTTCCATGCTAGGGTTTTGCACTGTTGGCCAAACTTGAAGCTGGTTGGTGATACCAGGCTGGTGCAGGGTAAAGCTGGTAATTCTTTGGGAAGATGTTTCGGTACTCTTTTCATGGCAGTGGCTGTAAAGTTGTTTATGAACTATCCTTTGCACGAGTTACATTTGTTATCTACACAGCATTAGTTGGAGAGGCAGCGGGGGAACCCAGTGCTGAATTGAACATCTGAAGGATAAAGGCTTTTTCTTTCTTATAGGATGGCAAACAGGGATGGATGTTCCTGCATAGATTTGGCAGGGGCTGTAGAAGCTTTTTCTGGAGGGGAGGAGAGTGTGGAGAGAAACCAAGAACGAGCTTATATTGGAAATAGGTCTGTGGCCCTATGCTGCTGCATGTAGGAAGTGGCAAAACTTTTTTTTTTCATCGGATTATGTATTTTTCCACGTCAATAATGGTAAAAGGGAAGTAACTGAAAATCATCTACTGACTTTACTACCCACCTCTGCATCTGCCTTATTTTTGTAGCTGTTGCACTGGAAAGCTGTGAATGGCAGATATACGCTACCTGATTGGCAAGGAAAGTAGATGGCACAACCCACAGAAACTACGTGTCCTCACTGCTACTAGAAGCTTATGGAGGACTTTGCAGTCCTCCATAAAGTGGATACTGTATGTTTTCTTAGTAGAACATTGAATTTGGTAATTTTGACAGTGAGTTGCCAGATTGCCCACCTTCTATCGTCCTTCATTGATTATTTTATTAGAAGCCCAAATGACTCAGGAGTAATTATATGAACCAGGCTTTAAAAGCCTGATGGTACAAGCTTTTGTTTCAATAGTCTAAAAATTACTTGGCAAAAATAGTAAATGCAGATTTACTTGAAACTCTTACTACTGGTTATGTATAATTAACCTACCACTGCACATATCCAAGCATTATTTACTAACAGATGAAGTAAAACAGTCTTTGTGCTATTTCATGTTCATATGTGAAATAACTTTGGTGTGTTGATGGTAGCAGTTTCCACAGTGTGGTGTCGTAAGGTTATTATCATAGAGTCAAGGTTGGAAAAGACCTCTAAGATCACCTAGTCCAACCATCAACCCATCCCCACTGCTCCCAGTAACCATGTCCCTAGGTGAGCAGAGCACTAGGTCAAGGGGCAAGACAGTTACATTTGTACTACATGTTCCATGTTACTGTCCCATTCTCCTTCTAAGTCTTTCTGAATATACATATATATGTTCACTGCTGTTATTAGTGTTTTGAAAGCTCAATCTTTAACACTTCAAGACTTCAGATGCAGTTAACGAGTTAGACATAATTATCACTTACACCTACCTTAGTACTATTAATATGAATTTTGACTCTTTTTTTCCAGTGGAATTTTCAAATATGGGTAATGCAAATTAATGGTTTCTGTTTTTTGCAGGCACCCAAATAGAAGTGGGAGTGTGCAGAAGTGCCAGATACTGACTAGCATTGCCTTAAAGCAGTGCTAACAATAAAGCAATAGGAAGCTGCACTGCTGCAGTGGATTCCAGCAAGAGTCACTCTTAGCCACATGAAGGCTTGACCTTGATGTTTCTTTTTGAAAATTAGTTGAGAATGTTGTAGTTATTAAAAGGATACACTCACACACATATGTTTATATATTATTTGCTAGGAGATAAATGCAGGGACAATTATGAGCAGGTACAGTCTTTCACATCCATATGGAGCTAATTAAGGCAGCTACCATATCCAAAAGGAGAAATTTTTACATATTTCACAAAGCATAGAGAGGAAATTTTTTTCCAGCAGAAAGATAGTTTCTACAGTGTACTTAGAGAGGAAATTTGTTTTGTTTTGGCTGTTGCTGGCTTTGTTTTTTCTCTTGAAAGCGTATTTTGTGATTGTGGAATGATGCCCGTTGTCCTCAGTGACAGGCTCAGTGTTGATCACTCGCTGTTACAGGGAATCACGAAAGATATCTTCGATCCAAAGAAAATCTCCCTGAAACATATTAGATACTTAAATAATTATGAGAGCTTTAACATGTTATGCATTTCCAGGGCTGTTTTTTTTCTCCAGGTTTTGCTAGGATGTGTGTGTGATCGCTGTGTTTATGGGATGCCCTTCCAGCAATGCAAATGCAGCTGCAGGTCTGTATGAGAGCACTGTATATTTTTCCTCTGCTTGCCTGTTTCAGAAACATCAGCAAAATTTTCATTGACTGAGCAGTGTGCCAGAGTTCTAGCATGGTGTTGTAGCTTTGGGAGGGTAAAGCTTATCAAATATTTGATATTATTAAAAAAAATAATAATAATTCTGGTGTGTGTACGCATACTATTTAGCACAGTTAGTTCTACGGGCAGGCCTACGGAGTAGATATTCTTTATATCAAGGTGGGTGAAGAAAGACCTCCCTATGTATTTATATCCAAGTAAGAGGCTTTCTGGAGCTGTTCAAAGCTCTGTGGTTAAAGCTGAAAACCTGAAGTGTTTTCACTGTGAGGGCACGGTATGTGGTGAAACAATTACTTATACCCTGCTCCCTGTTTGAATGTGAAGTTCCTATTTTTAGGAGTCACTGCCACTTGGCTCAAATTCATTCCTGTACAAGAATGCTGCAATTTGCCTTTTGGATTTTAGGGGGCTTGACAATGTTGGACAAGAGGAGCTTGTATGAAAGTCATTTCTGCTTGTCTATGTAAAGCTATCACGTTATAATGTCCCTAAACTATTAGTAAGTTGTCAAGTTGATGTTTTATCTAAATTTCCTGGGGAAAGCTGCACACTCTTTGTGTAAAACAGCGAATACCCCACATTTCATGAGAATTTTGCTGTCCTGCTCTTGTCAGCCAGCAGGAGAAATCAACTAAATCTTTTTCTCCCTTGCGGGCATTCGTGGACCTGTTCTCCCTGCATTTGCTTTACTGCTCTAAGCAGCTGTCTTTAAAGAATCGTTTATTGGGTTGACACATCTGCACATGCCTTAGAGTAGCATCGTAGCCCTCTGTTGTGTAACAGATATCAAATGGCTTTGTTGATGGTCCTGAAAACATTTTCATTGCAAAGTGCTGCAACTAAGGATCTGTAGTTCTCAGACTGAACTTAGATCAAAGTTACTGGCAAAAAAAAGTTAGAAGTTGGATAATTTAAATGCCAAATTCCCCTCTGTTGGGATGTGCAGGTTTGCAAAGTATGCTGAGCATGTCCCGGGTGAGGCTCTGAAAAACAAACGTTGAAAACTGCCAGTGTGTCAGGTAATGGGATACGTCTTGATACAGTTTCAAGCTACTTGAAGAGATACACTTCCCTAAAATGGTACCCTATTCCAGCAGTGGAAACTGAGAAATAGTAGAAATACAAGTGGCTGTGCAGAACCCTTGCAGTTTCTATGCAATCAGTGTAATCTTTGGTCGGACAAGGGGGAATAGTTTTAAACTGAGACGGGAAGTTTAGGTTAGATATTAGGAGGAAGTTTTTCACTCAGAGAGTGGTGATGTACTGGAACAGGTTGCCCAAGGAGGTTGTGGATGCCCCATCCCTGGAGGCATTCAAGGCCAGGCTGGATGTGGCACTGGGCAGCCTGGTCTGGGGTTGGCGATCCTGCACACCAAGGAGGTTGAAACTAGATGATCTTTGAGGGCCTTTTCAACCCAGGCCATTCTATGAATCTTACTTTGGACAGCAGAGCAGTTCCTTGAAGTTGCAGTAACAGATGGTCTCGCAGCCTTCTCCTTCCCAAAAGTGATCCTGCAGGTTGTCATCAACTTGCCGGAGGCTCACCATGCCTTCGGGAATGCTGTGACAGCTGTGGTCATGCAGGACCCTCTTGTAGCACTTGGGCCGCCGGGAGGGCACTGTGTGGGCACCCAGGAGGGCACTCAGCAGAAGTAGAACTGAGAGCATCTTCATTTTTTGAAAGTTTCCTGTGCAACGGTGTTAAATAGAAATGAGATACGTGACATGGATACAGCTGTTGGCTGGATCTCTTTCCCCAGTCTGCTTTCTATCTTATATTTTTCTGTCTTTCCTGTGAACTTATGGAGGCTTTGAGTGTCTGCGTTGGAGGGCGTTTTCTCCTAGGAGGTAAATAAGATTGCCGTGGAATTGATATTCATTACTTTCTGTACAACCACAAGAATCCTATCGCTGGGAACTGAGCTTCTGTTGCTGACAATTTTGTTGTTACTTGCCCTCTCACCTTGAGAAAATTACTCTGAGTTGGCCGTGTGCTCTCAGCGATGTGAGTGAACGCACTGCTGGCTACCAAGGCAGTGAGTCTCATTGCTTTCCAGGTGATTTTGGCTGGTTGAGAATGTTGAAATGAGTCACTAATTTAACACTAGTAGTGTGTTTCCCCCTAAAAAATATGAGCATTCCTAGTTCTAACTGTGGTAACATCTAGAAAGGTTTTGTTGTCTTTCATTCAGTTGGCACATAGTTGATCCCTTTATGCTGCCACTGCAGACTTCTAGGCTGTTACATGTGGGCACAGGATAGGGTATTCTAAACTAACCTGGACATAATTAGCAGTAAGACACCCTCTGAGCAAGGACCATAACAAATGCCAAGGTCAAGTGCCATAGCTTTTATCTAGATAAGAAAAAAATAGGGCATGACAGGCATAGAGGTCACTCAGATAATTGAGTTGTGCTTGTATTATTTTGTGGAACACTTGAGTTGCTCTTGAAAAACAAACAAAAAAAAACTATTAAACATATACATTTACTGTACTTACAGTATTTTTTTCCTATGTAGGTTCTTAACTACCATAGCTATCTTGCTGATATTCTGTTTCTTCAGACAATGAATGGCAGACAACTTAAGAAGTCTGGCAATTTGAGTTCATGCTGGGGATCAAATGCTACACTGATGCTCTTCAATTATATTTTCCATAAGATTTTGTGCAAACTTTTAACATCACTGACCCAACAAAGTGTTAAAAATCGGCTAATAGGTTAAGGAATATGATTACAATGATAATAAACTCTTGTGTATTTTCAAACTTCCATCGTAGGAACAAAATTAATTGAACAGTTCCTTCTGGTTTCTGTGAACTTGTACATGAACTTCTGAGTAGTAGACTCCTATAAAATACGGTAATGGAGCCTTGGGGATCTATTTTTAAATTGCCTTAGAGTGCAGTATTGAATAACTCTCTGTCTTTATTAGTTTTAGGCCTCAAAACCACTTCTCAAATAAAGTAAAAATTGTTCGAACTTTGTCTGATGTTTCAAGTAAAGAATCTGCATTGTTATACTAATAACTTTGTTTTGTAGTAGAAATACTGCAGTTACAAGGGTTCTGCTCAGAGATTTGTAATGCTCAAAGAAGTTAGTGCTGTACCTCGGTAAACATCAGCGTAGAGGAATACAGTTTAACATTTTTCTGTTCAAATAATTGAACTTCGTTATGTAAGTATTTAATGGAAGAAACGTTCCATGCAAAAGAAATTTAGGAAACAGATGAGGTTTTTGTCTTTGTTTTCTGTGGTTGGATTATTCTGTGAGTTGCTCCCCTGAGGACAAGGCATTCGTAATATCTTGTGCACGTTTTTTGTACTTAATTTGAATGAGTTTTCCCTAAATGGAGTTTAGTTGGAATTCTCATTTCAATCTGTTGCCAGCTGCCGATCTGCTCTAAATTAATAGGAGCACATTCTGTCCCAAAAACTGACAGATTTTCTGCAGGCTGTCAAATTGCTGGATTCAAGAATCGTGATCTACAGCTGAGGATAACTCAGTGTTCGCTTTGGAGTACAGGGAGGTGTTGCTATAGAGCATCATTGAGAATCGATATGGATGGCTGCCAAAAGTGGTATTAGCAAAGTCATGTGCCAGCATGCTGTGGATAGACAGCTTTGCTCACAGGCTGGTTATGCATCTTGCCTAATCAGTACTGCTGCTTTTCAGAACAGTATTTTATTAAAATCATTGTTGTTTTTTTTTTTCCTGAATACTTCCTGTTTCTTTGTGGTTAGTAACTGAAAGGAAACTTTGAGTTAGGAGACCTTTCTTCAAAAGATTGGTCATTTGCTGTAAAAGGATGGTGCCTATTTGCAGGTGAAAGATTGCTCAGGTGTTTCAGCAGTTCCCTGCACAGGGTCAGTGGTGATAAACCTGGCAGACCTTTCAGATGCAGAATCTTCTGTTTCCTGACAAACTGCTGGGAATTCTTCCAAACGCAATGATGGAATATCACTTGATTGCTTAGGAAAACAGCAGAGCTAGAAAGTGCCTATTTACATCAAAATGTGTGTCAGAGATCTTATCTACCTTTGCTTAGCATGGAAACAGTCTTCTCTCATAAAACAAAGCAGGGAAATTGAACAAATCCGATCTCCAAAGTGATGCAAAGAATCATTGCCAGCAAACGGTGTTAGATTTATGTAAAGCCTTTGAAAAAGCAGCAGTACCAGCCATGCTAAGCCTGACCAGATTGCTCTATCAAGACCATATCACTTCCAGTTCTAACAGAGGAGTTAAGCCATCTACAAATATTTAAAATGAGCTCCTTGCAGTTGCAGAAATCCAATTTAAGGAGTTAACTCCCTGGTTACTTTGGTACAATGTAAGTATAGTTCAGGGAAGAAGTTCAGCTGGACAAACAAATGCTTTGGAAGACTTAGAATTTTGCATGGTGCAAAATTAGTTTCATTGGAGCATATGTGCTGTGATTCAGGAATTACTGTTATCCCTGCTCATTCAGCAGAGAACATCTGAATTGTTCTGACAAGCAATTTGGCACCATCTCATAGTTAGAGAAAGACCAAATAAACAAAAAAACCAACCACGTTTCAGCATCCCGATCTGTGAATTAAAGGATAATATTTCATGAAGGTAGTGATGCTCTTTGAAGTTCCTGTATTACTGCTGGGAATTACTGTGAGCAGTAGGAGACAGAAACAGGGAAAACTGAGGAATTGTTCAAAAATATATGTCATAATGTATCTAGGAGATCCTACAGGATTAGGAAAAGATGCATGTTTACAAGTTTTCTCTCTTAACTGTACTTTTCAGAGTTGTTATGCTTTTCTGTGCATCTCCAGTTGCCTAATCCTAAAAATCAGCAGTATGCTTATCTGATATTGATGTGGTTTATGATCTTTACCAGTCAGTTCAGTGATGTGCTGGGTTAGCAAGCTGGCTGACTGTGCCTTAAAAAGTGAAGCAAATGTTATTTTCTATATGTATTATATGTATACATCACACTCTCTTTGTGTGTGGAGTTCAAGAGTTAAAAGCACCCACTTGCAATTAAATGCCCTTTAATCATCTTTTATTTGTCAGGTTATCTTTCAGAAACACCTGTAATTCCTGGCTTCAACCTGAAAAAAACAGAATCTAACATAGAATATTTCAGTGTTAGTGCATTATAGGTAGGCTTATTAGTACATTCCTAAGAAATCATTACACAAGAACTGCATAACTGATATTATTATGAGGAACTTTCTTCCATAAAAAAGTACTCAAATCTGTTTTGCTTGAACAGTTGGTACATTGTGAGGACTGCAGCTATTCCACTGAGGATGAATTCGGTGAATTGCTGCTTTGTAATTCCCATCAATACCATGATTCTTTCCAGAAATTGAGTTCTCATTAAAATCTATTTAGTTCTCTTAAAGTCAGCAATTTGTTGTGAGTGCACCTCTCTCTGCATTTACCAACTTTGCAATAATACTGAGTACAGGAAAGCAACATAGCACGTTTAATGGCTTTGGATGTTAATATCTAACATTCAGCCTTGAAGAAGAGCAAGATAGGAAAGAAGGATCTTTAGCTGGATTATACCCACACATTTGTCTCAATTAACATATTTTGCCTACAGTGTATCTGATCTCCCCAAATCATCTTCTGTATGTTCCCACATATATTTCTAATTCTGCAGTCTTTAACTAGCAGCAGAAGAACATGTGAGCAGGGATAATTTCAGGAACTAGACGTACCTTTTTCTTCTGCTTCTCTTCTTTTCACTTTCTTAGCAGTATCTTTTCGGATGTACACAGAGCTAGAGCTGGAGGGGATGAGCAGAGGGAGGGCTGACGGAGGTGCTGGACAAACAGCCTTTTGTCCAGCCTGGCTTCTGTCTGTGAGTGACACACTCCCTGCTCCAGAGAGGGGCAGAGGATGGGCTTCAAGAACTGCCTCTTTCAGACACTGCCAACCTTGATGAGGGAAAGAATAGAGAGCGCATCCCTTCCAGCAGGAAGCATTTCATCCATCCAGGACCTGATGGCAAGGTGTCTCCTCAAGTGAGCAAACCACAACACTCAGAATGAATGGAGGAAGTGCCCTGTGGAATACGTGCCCTGCTGTGCCACCCGAGCGGGGCTGTGCTGAGCAGGGCATGCAGCCAGCCAGCAGGCTTGTGTAATCCTTGCCTTTGAAATTCTGTTTTTTCAGACTGAAAGAATGGAGAATTGTAATTATTTTAGCCAGATTCTTGTATGATCTACAATATGACACCGTGCATTGAGTTCATCACTGGCCAATGTTTAATCAAGAGGTAAAGGGTTACACTGAACAGTATTTCAGAGGAAATTATATTAGACTAATATAACTATTCAAGTAATCCGATACAATGTGTGTGATAAAAACATACAAATTGAGGTCCTTGAATAGATCTGAAGTATTAATAAGAAAACAATCTCTGGGCTGAACTCTGGGACTTGGTCAGTGTCCTTACATGTATCTTGCAGTTTGGGTCCCTCTTTTGTTCTGGTCATCCTGTCTCTGTTTCCTCATGTGGATAGGGAAGTACAGTTCTACCTTAGATTTTGATCTGTAGTTTTTTACATTTTCTAGTATCTAGTGCATCATTTTGGTTCTCCCATGTCTTTGTAAGGACTTGTAGTTCTATACCTTGTTGGGCAGCTTCCCATGCAGAAGTTTGTTACTAGTGCGAATAGGTACCTCTGCTCAGCTGCTCCAGTTTACAGTTTAATGTCTTGATGCTGTGATGCTTGTAGCTCCTGCGCCTGAATGTCTCCTCTGGCAGGAGCATAAGAAGAGAGCAGGATGTGTGCTTGTACCTCTGCAAGGCGCCTTTCCCTTTTCAGGATGATGAGATAGATGCCTTGCGCTGTTTTTCTACAGTAATTCCAGTGTGGATGCTAGATCTTGCTATTTGTGCTCTAAATGAGATTATTCTGATGCCTCTGTGAAGACACTGTGTCTCAGTTGCTGGGAAGGACCTGCTTGAACAGCAGACAAGCACTCTGAGGATGGGTCACTTTGTCTATAAAATGGAGTGAGTGGGGAGATCATTCTTCTGAAAGCATTCTGTTGTGCTTTGAGAAGAGACTGTTCTAACAAAAATAATGTTTTGATGGTGCGTTGGTGCTCCTCCCTGCCCCTGCTCTGTAGGTCTATGTTTGATGTCTCCAGTCATTGCGAACATTCAGGGACAGGATGAAATTTTCTCCCTTGTAGTGCTTCGTAGTATAGAAGCTCCCTCGTAGTATAGAAGTGGGAAGTAAATGTTTTAAGGAATCTAGGGGGTAAGATGCAACCAAAGGCTACGTTGGCTGATGTAGGAACAGCTATCTGAGGTGTGAAAATTGAGATAGGTAGCTTATAGGAAAATGCGTTGAAGGATGGGGCAGCCTCTGATGCTGGTGGCCTTGAAGAGAGCAAAGTGCAAAGCAGTGCTTGCAGGTCTAACTTCTTTCTCATTTTTTCACTAATTTGTTGCCCCAAATATGTTTCTATACTAAATCTATCTCATTTCCTGTAGGACTGTCAAGTTAGCTTAGTTGACTGTTAAATTCAACAAGACCAAGTGCTGGATCCTGCACTTTAGCCACAGCAGCCCCAGGCAACCCTAGAGGCAGAGTAACTAGAAGACTGTGCAGAGGAAAAGGGCCTAGAAGTTTTGATTTATACTCAGACAAAAATGAGCCAGCAGCGTGCCCAAATGTCCAGGAAGGCCAATGGCATCCTGGCTTGTAACAGCAGGAGAAAGGAGGTGATCATCCCTCTGTACTCAGCTCTGATGAGACCACAGCTTAAGTGCTCAAGCGCAGTGTTATGGATCCCTCACTACAAGAAAGACATCGAGACCCTGCAGTGTGTCCAGGGAAGGGCAGTGAAACTGCTGAGGGGTTGAAGCACAAGTCTTATGGGGAGCAGGAACTGGGACTGTTTGGTCTGGAGGAGGCTCAGGGCTGATCTTATCACTCTCTACAACTCCCTGAAAGGAGGTTGTGTTGAGGTGGAGGTCGGCCTCTTCTCTCAGGTAACTAGCAATAGGACTAGTGAAGGGAATGGCTTCAAGTTGCACCTGGAGAGATTAAAGTTGGATATTAGGAAAAACTTACAGAAAGAGTGGCACTGGAACGAGCTGCTCACAGAGCTGGTTGGGTCACTCGTCCCTGGAGGTATACAAGAAAAGCTTAGATGTGGTGCTAACGTGCACGGTTTAATGGGAAATTTTGGTTGTAGGTACACAGTTGTACTGGTTGATCCTGGAAGTCTTTTCCAACCTTAATGATTCTATGATTCTGTTTCTGGCCTTGGTGTCCCTTTGGTGGTGTGGTGAGATTTGCCAACTTTAATTCCTCCTGTCTTTTTGTCTCATTTCTGAGTTGCCTTGCTCAGGCTGCTGATGGGATGCCAGCAATGGCAGAGAAGTGTTGAAAATTGCTGAGTTTTTTTATTCCCCATGATGGCACTTGGTAGCTGCAAGAGAACTTTAGGGTGAGCTTGCTTTCCTACCTTCCTTGATCTGTGTCTACACGGGATGGAGAGGATCATTATGAATCCCATTAAACTCATATCTAGAGACCTTTTATTTGTTTGCCTGCTGATCCCTGTTCTTGTCTGAAGAGATACAGTAAGATACGAAGTACAGCTGTTTGGAGGGGACAGAGAAGTGGTAGAAGCAATGGTCCATAGGAGAGAAGGACAGTGTCCCCTGGTAGAGTGAGAAGGAAGAACAAAAAGGCAGAACTGACATTCAGCTGCAAATGAGTGGCAGTCTCTGGTATATAATGTTACTCTATACTGAATTTATGTAACATGCCCTTGGGAAAATAATCTTTGCTTTTTAAGAACTCAGCATTCTGCATATACTTCGCATTTTTAATGCAGGCCATGCAAGTTTAACTTTTTTCTGTAAGCACAAATCGATTTGCATTTTACTGTATTCTCAATATCAACATGCAGCTTTTTGCAGTCTGACAGTGCAAAATACTAGCATTTTCTCCTCTCACATTAAATCTTCTTAAAAGATGCCAGGCAGCTCATTAGTGCATCCAGTTTATATGAGGAGATCTATAATGAACCCTAGAACCTGATTTTGGTGGCTGATGCAATCTAAAATTTATAGCTGATGACTCTAGAGGAATGTACGTACTGTAGGTACGCATAAAGACCTTGGGAGACTTGATATTGGTAGCAATGACCATGCCAGTGCAACTAAGACATTAATTGCTGTCATTATTTGTTACAGGATTGTGGTTTGTAGGATGCTTTATGGTTGGTTTTCAGTATTATGGCTTTTAAGCAGCCATAAAATCCTTACATACTCATTTTGCAAATACGTGTGTACCGCAAATACTGTAGCTTGCATCATAGCCTTCATGTACTCTTTTCCATGGCTTGATGTCTATAACGTAAATCAAACACATTGAAAACACATTATTTTTACTTTGTGTAACTTTAACACTGTTTCCATTGTTCCCCTGATTATTATGTTTAGGATACATTTATGCTGTTAGATGTTATACTGTTGCATTTGCAGTTCCTGCATCTGGTAATATGCGTTGTACTTCGTATCTGCAGTAACCTGGGAAGTTCATTTGAATTTTCCAGACAAGAGTTCATTGCCTGTTTGAAGAAATCAAGTTCAGTAGCTGTTCATGCAATTTTTCTTCTGTCTCCTTGCCGCTATTGTGAGGTGCTGCTTTATTTCCAGTGGCTGTTCTCTGTGAAGTCCCAGAGCATGTCTGTTTCCTCTCTCAGTAATTTCTGACTTCCTTTTATTGCTTTTGTTTTGTTTTTTTTCAACTTCTGTAGTCTGCAAACCATGCTTGCTTAAAATACAAGGCATATCATTGAGCTTATCAAAGCAATCTTTTAGTGTGGTTCCTCAAATAAGTTCTCTGTTGGCACACTCAGGCTGCTGCTTTTCTAGTAATGCAGAGAGGATGCTCTATAAAGAGAACCTGCTGATGCTATGAACTGTCAATTCCAGACAGGCCTACCAAGTTAGTAATGGATGTGCATATGTAATACAGCCCAGTGTTTCAGAGAGGCAAATGAATCTGAGCATGTCTTGAAAAGAATGGCTGTAAACTGGGAAACTAATGTCTTTCTTGTAGTGAGGAGCCCGAAATTGAACACAGTACTCCAGGTGCAGCCTTACCAATGCTGAGTACATGGAGATGATCACCTCCCCTGCTCCTGCTGGCCACACTATTTCTAATGCAGGCCAGGATGCCGTTGGCCCTCTTGGCCACCTGTGCACACTGTCAGCTCATGTTCAGCTGAGCATCGACCAACACCCCCAGGTCCCTTTCCTCTTCACAGTCATCCAGCCACTCATCCCCAAGCCTATAGTGCTGCATGGGGTTATTGTGGCCAAAATTCTTCATTGATTCAAAATGTTTTATAGTTATATATGTATTACTGCTTTGCTAGGAATTACTTGTTGATACTTATAGAAGCCTTGAGGGTATGGAGCATTCTGCAGCTGCTGGAGTTGGCTAGAGTCAGGAGTCTGATAAAAAACAGGGAGGGATACCATTGCCTCCATCACCCTTATTAGTTTTAACTGCAGTTAAAGAAGAAAGAAAGCAATGAGAACAATAACACACAAAAAGTTACTTATAAGATCTAGTGTAGTTTCCCTTAATCATCACTGCTGACAGCATAACAAATGCCTTCCTTACTTTTCAAGTCTTTGACCACCTCACTGATTTGTGACTGCTTTAACTGTGGGGTCTATTTGTCCACTTGTTGCACAGGGAGGGTGGGGGGAGCTTGGGCCATTTGACCTGGAGAAGATGCTGTAACTGAGCGCTTGG